TTTATGACAGGGTGGAAAAGATTATTTTTTTACTTCTTTTTTTCTGTAAAAACTGTGCAAAAACTGAGCAAGCAAAGCGTTTTACGCAATCATATAGTTTACACCACTGTACATTCTTATTGGCTACAGTCTAAAATTAGGAAATGCATAGAACTTGCTCCCTCAGTGTGCGCCAAGTGTGGAACAAAAACAGCTGATAGAAAGCGCCACTAAAGAGATACAGCATCATTTGATTATTTATCACTGATTATCTAGATTTACTGATTTGGACAGTGCTATATAGTTTTATCCATCCATTTGTGACCTTTTATCAGCTGTTGCTATTAAAAAGGTTAAATGGCTTAAATTTAGTAAAGTTTGGTGCCATCAAAGTAATACATTTGTATAAGTTCTTTTATTGTACATTTGTATAAGTTCTTTCATTGGCAGCTCTGCATCTTTCTACTGGAAAGTGAGAATGGACATTACACGTCAGAATGACTTCATTACCACACCTATCTGACTCATTGACACGCTTTGAATCAGAATTATAATCAGATGAATCATAAGCTGAGAGCACACTATATTGAACCTCTCTCTTTATACTACCTGTATTTCTAAACTTGTTGCCTCTCTTTTTATTGTTTTAATTATTTGTTTAAAGATTCTGTTTCCTTTGAAACTCATTTTCTTCTGCCAACTAAGGTTTGTGCCTCTTATCTATATACACACCTATAGTATTTTGTTTATAATTTAATATATTTTTATAGCAATAGTATCTCTTAAATTTTTGTATGCTCACACTCCATAAATGTTGAATATAATTTATATTCAATTACACATCGTAATCGTACTGTTAATTGATGTATAGGTATTTTATTTCAGTTTTATTTGTCTTCCACAATAAATTCTCTCTAAATTGTTTCATGGTAAGAAGTAGGCATCATTTAATGGGGTCGTTTGTAAAAAGTTAGCTTAAGTAAAGTTTAAGAAGAGTATTTTGCGAGAGTTATTTTTTTGCCATTTCCATGTTTTCCCTGTATACGTGTATATGTGTATATTGTTCTATAATAAGATATTGTTAACAAATCTTAATACAGCTCTAACTGTACAATGTTAAATAAAATAATTAAATTTTCCTAAAAATCCTAACTGTGGCTGGTACGTATGTATAAAGGTCAACCAGTTAGGAAATTTTGTTCATTAAACGCTGAAATGTTATAATTTGTTAATTATTTTTGTTAGAGTACAGGAAAGATCGTGTTTTGTGAAAGCTTTCGCATTTATGCTTTTTTTCTCTAAAATACATTCCTACCGTTAACTCACCGCTAGCTTAAAAATAGTTTAGTTTACTGCATTCCAAGCTGCTCCTTTGCCGAGTTAGCTTCTTATTAAACAGTTATTTCAATAATCAGCTGTTTTATCAATGAACTGTGGTCAGTCAGCTGGTTTACCATTTTCTAGAATTTTTCAGATCATGACAATAGTAAATACGGTACAGACTTCCATTCGTCTGTGTAAATTGAGTACTTAAAATAATGCAACATAAATTTAGTGTAGAATTAAGAGTTTAATTTGATCCCATAACATAGAGTCCATAAGAATTTTTTTGTATTTGAAATTAGCTTATTATAACAAGATGAATTTTTAATGCATAGTTTAAGATTTCAATTATTCTTGGATCACAATCTATCTTAAATGTTGTAAAGTGTATCAGAAGTGCTCTTTATAATTGATTTAATTTATTGTAGTTTGAATTTGGGTTAGTATTATATTAAACGTTTTTTAGCATATTAACTATGGATAAAGTTACCAAATAACTTGTACAATTTGTGTTTGTGGCATGACCAGATCATTTTTGAAGATAATGATATAACCATTTTCTTAGAAGGAACAAGTTGCAAGTATAAGTTTTTGTTTCCCAAATAATTAATAAATTGTTCTTAGATTCAACTGAAGAGAGTAAGTAATTAGTGTTTGCCCTTATGAACTGATTTTCTTTGTTTAGTAATATTCAATTCAAAAAATAAAAACCTAGTCAAAAATATTTTCATTTGTTTTATGTTAAAAGAATGTTTTGATATAAAGAGTTTTTATAGTTTTGGTGATGAACAAGTCTGCAAAGAAATGGAATCTGAGATCATACAAAACTGAGATGAGAATTCTTTTCACAAATAATGTGAAGGAGTTGGATTGCAAACATTCTGATTAAAATTACTTAGACCTACTCTAAACCCTGTGAAATTCAATCATCTAAGTTTATTTTAATTGCTTTCTCTTTAAATTGCTATTAAAAGCTCTTTAGATGTTGGTCAACCTTTAGAAGGTATTTTCAGAAGTGAATTTGTCAATCCACAATGTTCTTTGACAGTTTTAGGTGTTATTAATGACTACGCAAGCTGCAGTCAAGCAATAAACTTATTGCGTACATAGTAAGTACGTGTTCATTCTCTGTGTTAGTCCTATTCACCTTTAGACAGCTCAATCTCGCTACTTCTTGAGACAGTCTAGTGTTGCATCAAATTATACAAAAGGTTTAAAGCTTTTGTCTCCAGGAATGGTGAGATTATGACCCAAAGTTTTGCATCCAATGTATTTACTTTTTCAAACTGTCCCCCTTTGCAGGCTAGCTGTTTCGGTTTTATTTTAGTGGGTCAATAAAGTACTATCTACAATGTTATTTTGTAGTTGTTTTTTCACCTAGACAAATTTACAGTGTGACAACATGTTATTTAGTGCTGTGACGAGTCAAGCTTTATTCCTTTTCAACATATTAAATTCCTTACCAAATGGTAAAACTGTCCAGAATACTTGAATGTTAATTGCAGAGATGTCAGTATGAGCAAAGGTATGAGTCAAGATCAGAATTTTGTCAAACTTTCAGTAAACATTTATTTTAGAACCATCTCCTAAAACTCAAGGTTACAGTGCTGTTAGGGAAAAGGCTGAGAGGACCTTTGTTTTAGAGCTTACCATATTACCATTTTCATATCGGCTTGTGTTTGCTTTTCTCAGATGTAGACATGAACTAAGTACTTTTTACTCTAGTATTACTTTGGTGTACCTACATAATATTGAATAAATGTTACTAGAATAGACAAAAAAAAAAAAAATTAGAAATTACAGTAACTCATACACTATCTCCTTGCCATAATTGTTTGTGCTTAGTTTTGCACTATCCTGGATTTGAATAACGGTTTGTTTAGTCCTCACGTAAACAAGTGCAACCTAGTTATTTATTATGTGGGACTTGTCTTTCTACATGTTTCAATATGGCAAGTAAAAAAAATTTGAAAGTACACCAAAGACTAATAAGTTCACACACTATTTCTGCTGGTTATGAAAATTCTTTTTTCTAAAGAAACCATCTAATAAAAAACTTAACTCAAATTTATATAGATTGGCATAATCATAGAATATACAAGTTTGCCTACAGTTAAAAATATTTTTTCAGTGGACTTTTTACAAGAGCTTAAGATACAGGCTACAAAGCTTTAAATTTTCATTGTATAGAGGTAAAAATCAATCAAACCAGGCTTAGTCATACAAAATGCAACAGTGGGTGAAATCAATACAACTCAGTTTTGACTTTGACACAGGTAGTTTACAATCTTGCTAGGTGTTCGTGCACATAATCACAAAGTCAATCAGGGCATTGATAACTGTAGAATAGTGAAGGTCGTTGGTGACTGTTGATAACAGGTTACTGTGTCAAAGGCCTTGGTTGATAAGCAGCCATGTCTTATGTTAAGTCTAAAATATGGTTTTGGAGAATTTCTCTAAAGGAAAGAAGCTATTACCGTGAGTGGAATGACATTTCCTAGATACGAGACTGAAATAACTTTTTCCTTTTGAATGATGACCAGAGACCAAAAACCCAATTTATATAAGTTTGAAATTTGTTAAAAAAGGACATTGATATAGTCATAACAAATTCGCAAGTCAAATGTTTAAGTGCCTTTCTAAAAAATAATTGTAACCAGGAAGGTAGGGTTGCCATACAATACTGTGTAAAGAAGAGGAGATTTTTGCTTGTGGCCTCCACTAGTGAGTAGAAAATAAAGGGATAGCAAAATTGGGTAGTCTAGTCAATGACAACACACTATAAACATCTCACTATAAACAACAAATAACCGAATAACGTTTAGACAAAAAGTTTTCTGTCTGAGCTAGAAATACAACTGGAGGTACTGGTTTGGCAACTCTAGTAAATCAAATAAATGCTAGTAAATCTACACGCTGTAGTAACATTTACAGATTTGGAACATTTGTAGATGTTGGTACCATCTACGGGAATCAACCAAACGTGTTCTTGAGGACCTGATGATGAAGCTAATATTGCTTCAAAACGCGTAGTCGACAGACAACCTTTCGATTACTTTGGCAGATCCAGGTAACATTGTACCATTTATAATTTAAATAATAGTATAGTGTGGTATATTAAGATCTTCCGGTCGCGCATCGGCTGTAAATTTTGCCAAAAACCTAGAAAAACTTCCTTTTTTACTAGACTTATTATCTGAAAAATAATTATCGATATCAAAATAGAATACTGAAAATCTGCTTGTCCACATTCAGATAGTAACTTAAAAAAACGGACAAAATCAAAATTGACCTTCTGGTTGCGCATATCAATACAAATTCACTTGAGCAAGGCACTATCAGGTCAGTGACCCAAACGACGACATATGATTCCGAATTAAAGTTTCTTAAATTGAACAACAAGGTGGTGATGATAATGTACCTCTGTGCTCACCAACTAAAATTGACGATTGTATTGACAGCAACCAAGAATGTTTACGTGAACTTCCAAAAGAGAAGTTCTCTGGTAGGCAAATGAGGATTAACCTTAACTCTGCTGCATTTGTTAGCAATCTTTATGGTGTTTCCGATCATGCTACAACCGCAATAGCCTCTTTTGGGGATGAACAAGTCTGCAAAGAAGTTAAATCTGAGATCATACAAAACTGAGATGAGAATTGGAAGAAGTCCTCTGGTAGGGGGTTAAATATTTGTCAGTATGATGGTGGAATACTTTATTTTATACAAATTATATACTAAATACTAAGAGATTATTCTATGTCGCCCACCTGATGATGAAGTAACTTTTCTTACCTGAAAAATGTGTTGAAATTAATAAATACTGTAGTGGTTGAAAATAAAAGAACTTCATGATAACTATAGACCAAATTAATCTATGTATAATTGTCTACATGAACAGTACAAAACACACTGGATGGCTCTCTCTTGGCAGAACGGTGCGTGCGTATTACAGTAGAACCTTGCTAATCCGTCACCTACGGGACCGGGAGCATCGTTGGAACAGCAAAAAGGTTGGATTATTAGAGGAACACTTTTATTGAAATAAACACATAGTAAAACTGTATTTTTAACAGACCACGGATAACTGAAATCCACGGTTAATCCAACATGACATAAAACAGTAATTTCTAACTCATAAACGATGCCTTATATTGCATAAATGGACTTCAATGTGATAAATTGCAAAATACGCAAATATTATTACATCATCAAAATACAATTAGTAGGCTATTGCACATTCATGATAATTCTGTTAAGTCATTGATCTTGGTTCAGTAATAAAAACTGTAACGTTTAAAATCACAGCTTTCTCAAATTTTTACTCAAACAAACAAATTGCCAAACATTGTACAGCAAAATAAAGCACAGAACAATAGAAAATCTAGTAAACTACTGCTAGTCATAGGCTACTGCTACGCTGTTTCAGGACAGACGAATATTATAAATAAAAACATTAAATAACAATGACATAAAAACATTGCTTATTCTTTCTCTTTGTTCTTCTATTCTTTCTTGAGTTTCTCATTATCTGTCCATTCATTGAAGGGATAGCTTGACCTTGAAGCTTTGTTCGGCATTTCTTTGTTTTGCTTCCATTTTATTTTTGACAGATGAACAAAAACTATAATTTCAAAAACAATATTGTGGGAGCCTACTGCATATGTATAAATAACTAGCAGTTAGGAACAACTATTCTTTTAAATGGTAATTTGTTCTTTAAGATAATTAATGAAAATGTATATACCAAAAAAAAAAATAGAATATTCGGATGAAATCATCGGTATTCTTAGGATTAAGACTATTCCTCCTTTAAACTTACCACTGATGATTGTTGCTTAGATCAAGTTCGGTGTCATTTTTTTAAACCGTCGGTCTGGTCCCGTTGCACAGCTTGGGTGTATTTAACTTTCGCATTAGTATTATTGGAGTTCCTTCTTTTAATGACAGTAATGTGGTGGGTTTATGACAAATTGAGAGGCATTTGAATACCTAAGATAGCACACACGATTATTATTCACTTAATAATTTATGTTAGATTGTGTGGGTATAGAACAAAAGATAAAAATATTAAGGCATTGCAATCCCTTTTATTGTTTATAATACTTTGATAAAGGTTTTACTTATAATGTTTAGATATTTAATAACCTGAGATACTTATTTACCTGACTGAGTTGTTTTGAAAAGCAGTGTATTTTTGTACTGAAAACCGCTTCAAATAAAAGTTGTTTCTATTCTATTTCTATTCTATTCTATTCTAATAGTGGAGAATTTTAACGTTGTTGAGTGCACGTCTGTTTTTAAATCCTATACTCTAATATGAACAATGTTTGCTTGTATGTATGCTTGCTTGCTTGCTTGCACAAAGATCTTGAAAACGGCTTAGACGATTTTCTTCAAATGTTGTAAATAGTTTATTTCTGGCCTAAAACGCATTTACTGCAGTTAAAACTGCCAACAAAAATCTAATTACGTAGAAAAATGAAACTCACATTTTTTGAACATTAGTCTTAGGGGTTGCTAAGTAACCATCTTAGCAGAATTAAATAACAAGGAAAAAGTAACCAAAGACTTGTAAGTTGTCTATCCACAGTATATTAGCAAATTACAAAATACAGTACAAAAGGGAAAACATCAGTTGTTACTATTGAGCAAAGATTATATTTAAGATTAATCGATACATAGTAGTAAAGTCTAGCAGTGTGGAGTGTGGGATCTGTTTATGACGATTAGATTAAGGTATCTACAAATCCTAAAATGCTATGGGAAGGGAGGGAAACAGGTCCGCGACGTAGGAAGTGGTGAGGGAAGTAGTAAAGACGAGTAGTCCGGAGTGTGGGAACTGTTTATGACAATTAGATTAAGGTATCTGCAATCCTAAAATGCTATGGGAAGGGAGGGAAACAGGTCCGCGACGTAGGAAGTGGTGAAGGAAGTAGTAAAGGCCAGCAGTCCGGAGTGTGGGAACTGTTTATGACGATTAGATTAAGGTATCTGCAATCCTAAAATGCTATGGGAAGGGAGGGAAACAGGCCCGTGACATAGTAAGTGGTGAAGGAAATAGTAAAGGCGAGCAGTCTGGAGTGTGGGAACTGTTTATGACGATTAGACTAAGGTATCTGTAATCCTAAAATGCTATGGGAAGGGAGGGAAACAGGTCCGCGACATAGGAAGTGGTGACAGAAGTAAAGGCATCTTAAGGTGAGAGATTATGCAGTTTATGAGCAGTCCAGAGTGTGGGAACTGTTTATAACGATTAGATTAAGGTATCTGCAATCCTAAAGTGCTATGTGAAGGGAGGGAAACAGGTCTGCGACGAACGAAGTGGTGAAGGAAGTAGTAAAGGCAAGCAGCCCGGAGTGTGGGAACTGTTTATGACGATTAGATTAAGGTATCTGCAATCCTAAAATGCTATGGGAAGGGAGGGAAACAAGTCCGCGATGTAGGAAGTGGTGAAGGAAGTAGTAAAGGCAAGCAGTGCGGAGTGTGGGAACTGTTTATGACGATTAGATCATGGTATCTGTGATCTTAAAATGCCGTGGGAAGGGAGGGAAACAGGTCCGAGACGTAGGAAGAGTGGTCAAGGAAGTAGTAAAGGTTAAGCAGTTAGATTAATATATCTGCAATACTGAAATGCTAATAGAAGAAGGAAACGGCTAGCAGTGCGGAGTGTGGGGAATGTTTGTGGTAATTATAATAATGTACGGTATCTAAAATACTAAAATGCTATGGAAAGAGATGAAAACAGGTCCACGACGTAGGAAGTAGTAAAGGCGAGTAGTCCGGAGTGTGGGAACTGTTCATAACAATTAGATTAAGGTATCTGCAGAGTGTGGAAACCGTGTGTGGCAGTTAGATTAATGTATCTTCCATCCTAAAATGCTATGAGAAGGGAAGGAATCAGGTCCATGAAGTATGAAATGGTGAAGGAAGTAGTAAGGCTAGCAGTGCAGAGTGTGGGAACTGTCTGTGGCAATTATGTATCTGCAATTCTAAAATAGTATAGGGAAGGAAGGCAAACAGGTCCACGACGTAGGGAGTGGTGAAGGAAGTAGTAAAGGCAATTAGTGTGGAGTTCGGGAATGTATTAATGTATCTGCAATACTAAACTGCTTTCAGAGTAAACTAATGATTTTCTCCGAGCAAAGCTCGGTCCCCAGGTACTTATATTTATTTGTAAACATTGTAGTTCTAAAAGTATGACATTGGACCCCTTAAAACCCTCTGGGGCGGAGCCCTTTTGACGGATCTGCACCAAACTCCACACAAACCATCCTTGAATAATGCTTAATAATGCCTGAAAGTTTCATTACAATCTGTGAGCGGTTTCGGAGTCCATAGGGTACATACAATCATACTTCCTCTTTTATAGATATAGATGGGCAGAAATAGTTAAATATACAACAAATTTCAACACATTAGAATAAAGAAACACATTTTATAAAACTTTCTGGGTATTTGTCTTGGACAATAAGGGTAAGGTTATGTTAGCGGAAGCCTATTATGTCAGCGGCACGGTCGGACCAAGCGAGGAGTCGGACCATCCTAGGTCAGATTAGCGAGGTTCTACTGTACATCTAAATGAAGAACAGTATGGTTGCATGAATGTGTATGTGAGTGAATGTTAGATAACAACTGGGTACCGTAGCCGAGTGGTTATTATAGTGCTTGTCTAACAATCAAAAGGTCACCGGTTCTATCCTAAGAAAAGTCAGTAGCTTTTTGATGGTTCAAAACTGAACCCAGCTGTTTCTGATCATTGGGATCTAAATAAAATATCATGACTAATGAAACAGCTGATCTTAGTCATTAGTCTTAGTCATCGTAGTCTTGATCATGGTCAACTGACGATCTCTTTGTCATTAAAGTACAGATAACCACCCAATGTCTGACAGACTCACCGACAGCAAGTGTCAAGTGTTCCACTCACCAACTCTAAGGAGAGAGATGTTGTTGGGCAGAATGTGCACAGACTTGCTCACCATCTCACTCGGGTTTGTCACACGTTTTTGGTTGATGTAGAACCCACCTGCTGAGATGATGGTCTGAGCGATACCTACACAACAGCCAACTTCATCAAAAAAGTATAATTTTAAGCTCTAAAGAAGGGGAAGAAGGTATTCTGGTGTAGCAAAGATCAGGGTGATGACTGTCTTGGTGGCTTAACGGCTAAAACCATGCTCAATATTGGCATAACTGATAAGTCACATTATGAGAAAGAGTTAGAATCCTTTAAAAATAAAATATTTTCATGATATATGATGGGACTCGTATAGTCATATGGTGGCAATGCCATAGTTATCCCTAATAAAGTAATTTAACGAAATAAGTAATTTTATATAGTATTTAGTCCCTGTGACGTTGGCAGAGCTTTGTCCACCTTGATTTACACAGTCCTAGATTAATTACCAGTATACATCATCTAGTAGATAATTGTGGTGTTCCTCAGCATCATCTAAACACGGTTGTAGGCCAAAAAGCTAGTAAGTGTGATAACTTGAGTAAAAATGATTCCATTTATATTAAATTTGGTCAAGTTATGTAAAATATACCAACTATTTTTCATATGAGTATGCAAAAATTAGTTTACTTAAAAAGTTAAATTTCACAGAGTTTCCTAAAAATATGTTGTAAAGCTTAAACAAGTTTTCCAAATTTCAATACAAACAACCTTAACATTCTGTATCCCAGCCACAAACCTGTAGTCCCAAAACACTTTGCCTCCATGGCCAGATCTTGTATGGTGAGGTCTGCTCGTAGTATCAAGTCTAGGACTCTCGCTCCTTTGAACAGCTTCACCATATCTTGCGCAGTCAGCTTACCCAGCTGTTCTATACTGGAGTCGTACAATGCAGCTGTTGTCGTCTTGGCGCTCTCTAGACCTGCCTCTGTAAACATAATTGAAACGTTTCTTTATCTGATAGGGCTACTGCTCATACGTAGGCAGCTCAATTAAAGTCAATATTAAGTTTTAGAGGTAGTTACTGTTTTGCATAAAGAGAGTAGGAGATTTGATAGCACACCCACAAGACTGAGCTGCTAAGAAAAAGTGACAAGGAAAATTAGGAAGTTTAGTTTAATTTTTCTATTATTTTTACCTTTAGTTTTCCAAAATTTAAGCAGTGAATTAGGAGGACTATAATGAATTGGGTGCAAAAATTTCCTGAAATATCACCCAAAGCACAATTACTATAAACAAACAACCATTATAAGATCTGGAAAATCTGGAAAAAAACTGATTACTAGCAAGCATTATTACCTAGTATTATCAACCTAGTATTATAGGTATCAAGTTATATTGTTCATGGTACAAGGTGAGGCAGTGAAATGTCACAATTCTGCCTCCAGATGACGGGGGTTGGGTTATGAGAGCACGGGGGAAACCTTGAGCGTCTAAAAGTGGAAATTTCAGTAGTATGGAGCGTCAGAAGAGTGTACAGAGAGATAGTCTGGTTTGTGCTCAGCGCGCTTTCCATCGTAAGTTCAGTTTACCGCCACAGCTTCCCGTTCCATTAAGAAAAGCTACCCTCCTTTGGGTGAATAGCTTTGACGCCACTGCTAGCATGACAAAGTGCTACAAAACAATTTCAGACGTTTTGCAGATGCTACGTAACATCATGGCCGGATTTCATTTCAGATTTTAACAATGTTTGCAAAACAAAAAACGCCACCTTACTGACACTGTAAACATTTTTATAAAGTAAAACATTAATTTTCACTCATGTACTTAAGATTTATGTTAGAACAACTATCCTTTTTCTATGAACAAATTATTTGTGATTTTTCAATATCGTTCTGCTTTCACTGCCTCACCCTGTGTAAGATACATAACACAACCAATGTGAAAAAACTGTAAACTAAATACGAGTATCTTCATGAGAATGGTGGGAATAAAGTTGTACAAACCTCCATGTACAAGCAGAGTAACATCTTCTGCAAGAATTTTCTGGGCTTGTCTTAGTTCTGGTTTGTTCTGGAAACATTCAAACCATTTAAAGTTGAATCCCTAGACATTTGGAGGATTTTTAAAACTTCCCCCCCCCCATGTGTTTATTGTTCATTCATATGAAATGCCATGCCAATACCATGGATCCTGTGGCACATTTACATTAGCTATGACTGACGTGTCTGGACCTAGAGTCCATCCCTTTTTATCAATCAATCATCCTCTAATACAAAGCTGTTGGTGTGTGGCAAAGTTGCACCGGAATGCTTATTGCCACGGTAATAACAAAATGTGTAAACCTAAGCAATGTCTATATGCTCCATTATCAACAGCTGTACATCAGCTGTTTGGGTTTGCCGGGACAGCAGTGTTGCCAGGTTTGTCTCGCCGCAGCCTTGTATTAGAGGAGGCTATGACCAATAAATAAAAAAAATGAAGGTACTAAAAAATGTTTTAAAATTTGTTTACGTTTAAATTTTAAAATGATAACACCTGTGCAATTGTTTTGTGATTTTGTTAGAGAACAATCCAAACCTTATAATTTTACTACCTATTTAACCAGTAATTCCAGTTTATATAGAGCCCCTAGTCTTATTTAGCCCAAAAAAGTCCAAATGGTGGATCCAACCAATTCTTCTCAGGATCAAACCAGCAATGTTAGGATTAAAAACAAGCAATAACAATACAAAATTTCCCAAGAATAATAATAAAACTAAGCTTTTACTTATGCAAAAAAGAGTCAAATTGTGACAACACTTTTGATACTGTAGGCCTAACTTTAAAATTGGAGTAAACTTGCCATATGTTTTTTACACAGATCTTGAATGCTGGGTACACTTCTAAACGTAAACAGTTTCAAAAGTTTCTCCACATCTGCGTCAGCTGTTCGAATGAAGAACTGATACAGCTCAAATGGTGACGTCAGTTCAGGGTCCAGCCATATAGCGTTTCCAGCTGACTTTCCAAACTTTTCACCTTTTTCTGTCGTTATGAGAGGAAGGGTTAAACCTGAAAATTTCAAGTTTAACATTACAATTGGATGACTGGGCAGTCAATTTATTATAAGCTTGCCATTCTGTAGGTGGCTGAATTGATTGAGAACCCAGAAGAAATTTGTCATTGGGCTAACAAATGATGCTTTCTAACGACAGTTTGACACTAGGACAGTAACTACTACAAGCAATACTTTGAGACACTAGCACTGAAATACCAAATTAATGTCTTTACGTTGTTTGTGTACTTGTTATTTCTCATTGTGGAAAATGTTAAGTTGTTAGATAAGATACTAAGAACTTGGTTAGAAAATAAAATCAATATTGATGTAACAATATGATGTAACAATGTAATAATATTGCCTTACCAAAAACGTCCTTCTTTGAAAACTTGCCAATGTAATCATGACCTGAATGGATGTTTCCCATCTGATCGCTGCCTCCAATCTGAAAAATGGGAATCTGTGAGTTTATGTATAAAAAAAAACAATATAAAATCCAAAACCGATTTACTGTGTGGATACTTTTGGCAGGTACATCAGAGTTTACAGTAAAAGTTTTAAACATTTCATTTTAAACTTATTTGTGAACACAACCTAAAAAAGTGGTTATTTTTTTTATAAACCTGTTGAAAACAATTTAAATGTTTTAAACAAGAAACTAGCCATCTTTGGATTGTAAAAACTCTGCTCTATGCACAGCATAACACCATCCAAACCAATAACCTACTGGTTAGTACTAAAGAATGATTCGTAATCTTTCTTATAGACCTACGTTAAAACGTAGGAGGACTTTTTTATTCGCAGATTGGGAAATCAACCACTTGACAGATTTCCATTATTCTTCTGTTGAAAGATAATTTTGAGAGGAAGGGAAGGGAGGAAGAGGAACATCATTTTTAAGTTGTTATTTTTAGTGCAATATAATTTGGTTTATCTAACATCTGCTGTTAAATGACTGGAATGTTAATGTTACAATTTTTTTACAAAAATATTGATCATCGTTATTACATATTTTTATCATCACACTAAATTGAGTTTTTTTCCTATGGCAAAGAACTTTTGTTTTCATGAAATGTGTAGTTCGTAAATAAATCTCTAAAATTGTGAATAACCAGGTTATTTCGTTGATACAATCTGTGTGAATATAAGTTTGTGCCATGAAAATTTAAACTTATGTTAGGAAAATATTTATTTAGTAAACTATTGTTTATTTGTTTAAGTTATAAGTGGTTTACGTGTTAGTAGTTGTTTTCCTTTATGGTCGACTGTCGGTCCTGTCTGTCGGCATGTAATGAAAATGGTGGTACAATATCATTTGATCTCTAGAAAACTGTAGGAAGTCCAAATGGCTGTCAGTAGAAACTCAAATCAATTTATATGCTACCATAACTATTCCAGTAGTAGTGTATGGTTTAGAAACTTGGGCACTGACCAAGGAATCTGAATCAAATCTTTTGTTGTGTTTGAGAATAGAGTGCTGAGAAAAATATATGGACCAATACAAGATAACAAAGCTGGAGAAGAGGAAGGAACAATATGCTAAGAGAAATACATATAAACGCTTATGTATTAAAGTGGCAATATCCAAAAGGCTAAGATGGGTTGGCCTTGCGTGGCGGGAGAGAAGATACTAAAACTGTTAACAGTGTATTCCGAGGAGAACAACAAGATAGAAGACCACTTGGAATACCAAGAATGACATTGATAAAAATCAAGAAATTTTCAGATTGGTGTACATTAGAAGAGTTTAGGTGATAGAAGAAAGTGGAGGCGTGTTGTTGTTGTCGGCGAGGCCAGAAACCTCTTGAGGTTTCGGTGACTACAGAGGTAAGATAAAGTACGTACGGTAAGTATGCAAATGGATATAGCAAATGGATATATATGGAAATAGTATGCAATGGAAGGTATGTAACCTTAGCAACTAATAACTAGAGAGGAAATCAGCCCTCAATCTCACTTCAAGGCTTTTCACAAAGAGAAAGATGCTGTTTAATTATAAAGTTATTGGACTTAAAATGCATATTGTTTATAATTAGATGAAAACATAGATGGCCACAAGACAATTAATTGTTAACAAGGTGATTTAAAAAATTCTAACTACCAGAATTTGCTTTTGTGAAGGTTGTTTTTGTTTACAGATCTTGAAAAATCTAACTTAAGCTAGGCACACACTAGCTTTAATCTGTAATCCTGTGTATTTAATTCACAACTGCTATAAAATACAGTTTCAACTGACTACTACATCTCCGTCCATAGGAAATGCTAACAGCTAGTTAATAGTTAAATGAAAATGCTTGTCTAAAGAGTGGAACATTAAACACATAATACTCCATCATATCTGTCGAAATATTGATCATTTTTAAACTGGAAAAGCTGTCTCTGGTTCAGTTCTCCCTAAAAGCTAACATAATTTGATGGAATGCTCACTTACAGTTGGAATGCCTAAAGTTGCTCAAAGTCAAACAGTACCAATTAAATTTACAAGTTCAACAAGGCCAATATATAATAATTTTATTTTATTCACTAGCGCTTTCAGAAACTAGGTTTCCATCTTCAGGCACTAGTACACTGGTACAAAAAGTAAATATTTACTTAATAATAAAATAATTCAAAGTTAAAAGTAAAACAGATGTAAAGGACATTGGAAAAATATGTAAAAATTAATATTAGAAAAATAATCTTTTGAATTTTTTGATATTACAGTGTTGTTCTTATTCTTTTTGTTGAAAGCGCTATTGAATAAAATAAAACTAGGGTGAACTGCCGTTACACTTTAGACGCATAAATGAGCGAAGCATTATTTAAAGATTGTCAATGGCTAAAGCAGCTAACAACCTACAATATGTTCCCTTTCAACATATTCACCGTTTGTTTGCCCGATATTATTTAAGTTCTAAAGAATGACAAATTTATCTAATAGTTTATTTATTTAGTTAAGAATAAGAATAAGAATTGATAAAAGCCTGGCCATTTGCTTGTACTTTGTAAATGGGCATAGCAAGATGTACTCGTGCAATCAACATTTGTTCTACAATCGTCAGGTCAGTTAATTCGTTCGGAACACTTGACACATCCATATTATTTAACGTCGTGAATTTAGTTGCATTTGAACGACAACGCGAACAAAACGGTGATTGGTTTGAAGCTGTTAGTTGTTGGCGATGACAGTTAGTGCAAGTGTAAAATTTTAGTGCATCTAATTCATGTTGGAATTGATTAGCTAACTGCCTATCATTATCAGCTTCTTCCGCCACTGCTTCATCTGGTTCTTCTTGTTCACAACGCCACTCTCTTACAATATTTACATTATTGGTGCGACGACCTGTCATAATATGTTCTTTTATATATCCCATGTTAGTTTTATATCATTCGACCAGACTGTACTCTTGTTGTTGTACTTGGACTGTACTGAGTTTGAACTGTACCGTTAGACCTAGATTGAGTGCTCGGTCACTTTGAATAAACCCATGCCAACGTTAACATGCTTATCATTTAACGAACCTCGACCTGCGATCCATATCACATGGCGCAGTCGGTAAAATTTAATTATGTGAGTCTTAAAAGTATGTTTGAATTTAATACAGTTATTTTTAATTATTGAGACAAGACGTTGAAGCTTTATAATCATGCCGAAAGCAGAAGAGGAGGAAAAAATGTCCATCGTCGTGCAAAGTTCGACTACACCTTCAATACGCCCACCATCAGAATTGACATGGTCAGGTAATATGTCAGAAAATTGGTCGTTTTTCAAACAAAAATTTAAAATCTACATGGTTGCTAGCAAAAGTGAAAAAGAGACTAGTGATTATCAAATCGCTCTTTTACTGTCAGTCATTGGTGATCGTGCTCTGAAAATCTACAACAATTTTCAGTATTCAACAGGAGAAGACAAGCACAAGTTAGAGACTGTAATATCTAAGTTTGATAATTATTTTATACCCACTAAAAATGTAACTTATGAACGTCATATTTTCTTTTTGCGTGAGCAAAACCTTGATGAAAATATAGACTCTTTTGTAACTGATCTTAGGGATTTGTCTAGCTCATGTGAATTTGGTCAGTTAACAGACAGTTTAATCAAAGACAAACTCATTTTGGGTATTAGAAATAGAACATTGAAAGACCGACTTTTGCAAACTAAAGACCTAGATTTAAATAAAGCTTTGGAAATATGTAGGGCTTCAGAAACTGCTAGCAAACAATTAGGAGATATTTGCTCAGACACTAGATCGGCAAGTATAGACGTGCACAAAATTGCAAGCAAGGATTGCAAGAAAGGGCAACATGTGACGTCCCGATCAAACAGCTTCATACGCAATCGTAGCAGACCGACTTCAGCAGAACGGCTGCACTCGCAGACGACGCAGACTCATCTAAAAAAGGGCTTCATCAACAAGCAGAAGTTTCAGTTTGTGTGTTCCCGCTGTGGTTACAATCATGCATATGGTAAATGCCCTGCATTTGGTAAAAAATGTGCTAAGTGTGGTGTTTTGAATCATTTTGCTACTAAATGCAAAAATAAGAATGTAAATATGTGTAATGTTATTAATGATTCCAGTGAAGATGATGATAATTTGTTTGTAGGGGAGATACATGTTGTCTCTAACAAAAATAAATATGGTAAGTGCCAGTGGCATTCAGATTTGTTGATCAATGATAAAAATGTTAGTTTTAAGCTTGATTCAGGTGCTGATATTTCCATATTAAGTAAGAAAGTTTTTGATGATCTTAACCTAAATGTACAACTTCAGCCAACCAAAGCTAGGCTAACCTCTTACACAGGTCAAGGCTTAGACACTGTAGGTAAATGCTCCCTTGATGTTAAACACAAAGATGAAGTACATAGTGTAGAGTTTTTTGTTGTAAATAGTAAATCACCTTGCATTTTGGGGTTGTCCGATTGTGTCAAACTGAACCTCATAAAAAGGGTTGACAATGTAAAAGGTAATAAAGGCTCAAATGAAGGTCCTGAGTCTTCTCATTGTATTCTTGATGAATACCCAGACTTGATGTCTGGTGTGGGATGTATAAAAGGTGAACATGAAATTCAGCTAAAGGAAGGTGCTCTTCCAGTTATTCATGCATGTAGAAAAGTTCCACTTGCATTAAAACCTAAATTAAAAAAGAAACTAGACAATTTGGTCAAACATGAAATAATTGAGAAAGTAGTTAAGCCTACAGAATGGGTTCAATCGTTAGTCATAGTTGCTAAGAACAATGGAGATATGCGACTGTGCCTAGATCCGAAAGATCTTAACGCTGCAATAATGCGGCCTCATTTCCAAATTCCGTCTTTTGAAGAAATTTCCGCCAAAATGGCTGGAGCTAAGTTTTTTAGTACCCTTGACAGTAAAAATGGGTTTTGGCATGTGAAGTTAACCGCCAAGTCTTCGGATCTATGCACATTCAATACCCCCTTTGGTCGCTACAAATTTCTGAGGTTGCCATACGGTATATGCTCTGCTAGTGAAGTGTTCCAGCAAAAAATGAGACAAATCTTTGATGAATTTGAAGGGGTCGAGGTTTACGTTGATGATATTATTTTGTGGGGTCGTACAAAAGCGGAACACGATGCGAGACTAAAGTTAGTGTTAGACAAAATGAGAGTGGAAAATATTAAGCTAAATAAAGAAAAATGTAAAATAGGCACAACAGAAATTAAGTATCTTGGGCATAAATTTACACAAAATGGCATTGACATTGATGAAAGTAAAATCAGAGCAATAACCTGTATGGAACCTCCAACAGACCGCAAGTCTTTGGAACGATTTTTAGGTCTTGTAACATATGTAAATAGGTACATACCTAACCTATCCGAGCACACAACACCTCTACGTTCTATTTTAAAAAAAGATTGTATTTTTAGTTGGCAACATGAACAACAAAACGCTTTTGAAAAACTTAAATCATTGTTAACAAACAGACCTGTTTTACAGTTCTTTGATGTAAACAAACCTATTGTACTGACTGTAGATAGCTCTCAAAATGGTTTAGGTAGTGCACTGCTACAAGACAATCTGCCTGTAGCCTATGCCAGCAAAGCGTTAAATGAAACGCAGAGACGTTACTCCCAAATTGAAAAGGAACTCTTAGCCGTGGTGTTTGGCTGCGAACGTTTTCATCAGTACATATTTGGATCAACCATCACTGTGGAAACGGACCATAAACCACTGGTAGCAATTTTCAAGAAGAATCTTGATTCGTGTCCCCCTAGGCTACAGCGGATGTTAATAAAATTGCAGCAGTATGACATTAATTTAGTGTATAAACGTGGCAAAGAACTTTTCATAGCGGATACTTTGTCCCGTTCTTTTGATGGCTCCAATACTAGTGAACTCAACTTGGACACTGATGACATAGAAGCTCATGTTAATTATGTAACTCAAAACCTGAATGTTGATCCTATTAACATGTCTAAGTTAAAATAGTATACTGCTAATGATAGTGAACTTGTTACATTGCTTAAGTTTGTTAAAGGTAATGTGTGGCCTAACCACAAAAGTAAGCTTCCAGAATCTGTGCGACAATATTGGTCTGTTAAAGATGACTTAACCTATTGTAATGGTTTGTTGTTTAAGGGACCGTGCATAGTGATTCCGAGGGGAATCAGAAATGAAATGCTCAAAAGGTTACATTATCCACATCTAGGGGTAACCAAAACTCAGCTAAGGGCAAAAAATGTAATGTATTGGCCGCAAATGAACTCCCAAATCTCAGATGTTATATCAAAGTGTGAAACATGTATTTTGAATGCAAACAGCAATGTAAAGGAACCTCTGATGCCACACAAGGTACCAAAGCTACCTTGGGACAAGGTAGGCATTGATATTTTCTTTTTTGAAGATAAAAAGTTTTTACTAGTTGTCGATTATCTTCCTAAATATGTTGAAGTTGTGATCTTGCAAAATATGACCAGTGTTTATGTTGTAAATAGTTTGAAATCTGTATTTAGCAGACATGGTATTCCTAGAGTTGTGATTTCTGGTTTTGATACTAGTTTTAACAGTAGTGAGTTTGAAAATTTCTCAAAGTGTTGGGAATTCAAACATGTACGCACAAGTCCTCAATATTCGCAATCAAATGGGATGGTAGAAAGAGCTGTTCAAAGTGTTAAAAATTTGATAAAAAAGTCTGTCCTTGAAAAAACTGATTTGTATTTGGCTCTCTTAGAATTAAGAAATACACCAATCAGTTGTAATCTGCCTTCTCCAGCTGAAATTCTTTTCAGTAGGAAACTTAATGGTATTTTGCCATGTCAAGAAAAAATGCTTAGGCCTAGAGTACAGAAAAATGTTAGAAAAAACTTAATTTTAAGACAGGACTCTCAAAAAAGGTATTATGATAGAGGTAAGCCCTTAAGGCCTTTGCAGGTAAATGAACATGCCTTGATGAAATACAAAAACAAATGGGTAAAAGGTCAAATTGTTGGAAAGAGAGATGAGCCTAGGTCTTATATTGTACAAAGTGAACGTTCAGACAAGACTTATGTTAGAAACAGACGGGATCTCCGTCCATTCAATGTATCATGTAAGCCTTATTTTGTCAGTAGTAATGATGTACCTGGTGTTAACCCGAAATCGCCTGTAAAGACCAGATCCCCAATCAAGTCTCCTTCCCATAGCCTACGGCATAGCCAATCTCCTTTGAGACCAACTTTGTCTCCTGCCAAAGAAGTAACCTCTCCTGAAAGGCCTAACAGTCCTAGACATGTACACTTTCCCGCTGACCACAATCACTACACGACCCGTTCTGGCCGTATGATAAAACCTGTCGACAAAATGAATTTGTAGGCCCCAAATGATTTATTGTATAGGTAGGCCTAACTTGAAGTGTTTTAATTTTTTATTGTAATATCCATGTTTATGTTTCTTTTATTGTACTTAGCCTAACGTGTCTATAATTCTTATGGTAACTTTCAAACTCTGTATATTTTTAATGATTAATTGTTGTTTCCAGTAACCTTGTTTAGTTTTAATACTTTGAAATTTGCGCTCTATTGATTTCATTTAGGCTAGTAACTATGCCTTATAAAATTCATATTTTGATAATTAATTGTATCGTAAATTTATATTGTGATTTTGTATTGTAAATTTATATTTGGTAATTTTATGACTATTGTAAATTCACTTTGATGATTATATTGCTGTTCAGATGTGTTAGGCTTAGTTTAATTTGTTATGAAAATCAAATAAAAAAAAAAATAATAATAAACTGTTGGTATGTAAAAGTAATTTTTAATTTTGAAAAAAAAGATTGAATATTTTATTTGTAAAAAAAAAATGTAATTTTTTCTTTTTAAAAGAGGGAGATGTCATAATATGTTCTTTTATATATATCATGTTAGTTTTATATCATTCGACCAGACTGTACTCTTGTTGTTGTACTTGGACTGTACTGAGTTTGAACTGTACCGTTAGACCTAGATTGAGTGCTCGGTCACTTTGAATAAACCCATGCCAACGTTAACATGCTTATCATTTAACGAACCTCGACCTGCGATCCATATCACACGACCAATATTACGACGTCAAATATTTTTTACCTAAACATTGTGCTCAGTATTCTTTAGCTGTTGCCGCTGTTGGCCAAATTTCATATCAATTGGTCAGAGCCATTACATTCTGATGCTCTTACAAAGAAGTTACAAAGTGAGGGAAAGTGAGCTTCGCTCAATTATTATATATTGGCCATGTTGAGCTTGTAAATCTTACTAATATTATAAATGTGAAAGTTTGTGTGTTTGTTTGTTTGTGTGTTTAAAGTTCAATCACGCATAAACCACTGGACGGATTGGGCTGAAATTTTGCATGATGATAGCTTACATTCCCGATTAACATATAGGCATATTCTTATCTCAAAAATCCTTTCGGGCTCCGCCCCAGTGGCTCTGTAATTCCCCATGTTAACCTTATGAGTATTCATATTTAAAGGGAATTAAAGAATTTAGTCAGCTGTTTCAACTAAAAAAGTTGGTTCTATGATATGGAAAAGCATTAAAAAGTCATAAGATTTACCAACAGGGTGCAGCACTATATTTTTTTGCATTTATGAAAACAGCTAATTTGAACTAAGCAGCAACAAAAAACTGTGATTCGCAATGAGAACTGTCAAAGTAGGATTGTTTACAGTTATGTTTATGTTTTTCATTTCATGAATAATCTGTGATATTTTGCGAATTGTTGATAATTTATTTACTCTATTGTTTAGGTTAACCCTCCAAGTGTCCATAGTTTAGGCCTTAATGTCCACCTATTTTTGGCGCATTTGCAAGGTTTTATTAAAACGGATCTGAGAAGCTTAAAACAATGTTAATTCTAATGTTCTATATACCATTTTGTTTGGAAAATCATGGGCTTCAATATTATATATAAAACATAAGGAAAATTTTTTCAAAAAAAAAATTTTTAGGTAAAAAAAATATAATTTTGAAAATTTTCAAAAAAAAAAAAAAGTTCGCGCTCAATGAAATTGTATAAATTATAGGCCTATAAATATTTGGAAATAGCCACTTTGTTCTAAATTTTATGAGGATTACAAATATATAATAATATAAGGAAGTATATTTACAAATAAATAAGTTATGGGCAAAAAACTGATTTCAGTACATAGCGTTTAGCTAAGAATGCATAGCCTTACCATAGCTAGGAATCTGGCTGATAATTTACATCAATATCACTACCTACTTCTTCAGGATCATCAACCAGCACTTCAAAACCACTTAAATCTTCTTATAATGCACCACGTATATCACTATTTTTGATTTTTAACACTAAAACAATGATAAACGTAATAAAACACATCAGTCATCGGTCCGGGGGAACCTAGCTGTTTACAAATACACGCACGTCAGCTGTCTGCTACAATATTTTCGGAACTAAAATGAATAGCGCTTAGAGACAGACCTCTGGAGAAAGCTTAGAATATTACGGAAAGAACGATACCTAACTCGATCCAGTTCAATACGATTCAGTCAGTCATAGAGCCTTCGCCGTAAACGATGTCTGCGTGTCGAAAAATCGACAAGTAACACTACACAAAGTGTGCTGCTTGTCGAATTTTCGTCAAGTAACACTGGGAGGGTTAAGTGGTAGAACATTATGGCTATGGTAGATGTGTAATACTATAAAATACTGTAAATTTAAAAAAGCAAATTTTATCAAACTGTGTCCTTCCTTATTGCTAACGCAAAGCTTGAGTATAACTGCAATAAGCATTTTATACTTATATTCCAACCCCGTACGAAGGACGGTACTTTGCTAGTTTAATTATACATTTCATTATTAATTGCCAATATCTCCAATATAAGTTATTATAGTACCAATTAAATACATCTGGAAATGATCATTGTTCATTTATTATTAAATCAAGATGTTACAACTAACCTGAAATCTACAATCATATTTGTTGAAGAGCTGGTACCAATCATATGCCTGGAATATCTGATAGGAGAACTCTGTGTAGCTCAGGCCGACATCTGACTTAAGTCTAGTCGCGACGGCAGTTCTGTTAAGCATTATTCCCATTCTAAAGTGACGGCCTATTCCGCAGATAAAGTCTAATGAATTGAGGTCCTTGTACCACGTCTCATTATTGACAACTCTGGAAAATAAAACTTAAAGGTCATTGACTCTATTGATTAAATAATTGTGAATATTAGCATTAAAAACAATTTGTGATACATATTTTAAAATAAATACACACATATCCCTTCCACTTAAGTCTGGCTTTAGGCGTCGACTAAGATACTAGCTTTTTTCCTACCCATCAAAGCACCATCTGCCATCTCACTCTTTTCTTTTCCACATTCCACTTCACCTCATTGTTCATTCATCCACTTTCGAAGGATACCGCTCTTCAGTTTCTAAAATCTTACCTCAGTAATGGAAGACAGATTGTCTCTGTTAACGGTAAGATGTCTACCGAGGTTATAGTGGATTGAGGAGTGCCTCAGGGGTCCCTACCCTCTTACGATAGACCTCTTATGTTTTTAATTTCTATAAATGATCTTCCAAGTAACATTTGAAGACCTACTAGATTAAATATATTTTATAAATGCAGATGGTAGGCTACAACTCTCTTTTCAAAGAGCATAACAATAGTTATATCTTAGTCATACTATTATACTCTCCCTCTTTTTAGTTGTCTTCATCTAGCCTTCCCCTTTAGGTCTTAAACCTATCTAACATTTTCAATTTTTAAATATCATAGCCATCTAGAACAAATAATCTTTGCTACTCACTTAACAGGCAACAGTGGTTCTTCTTCTTTTTTCTTCCAGAAGATGTCCTCATGATTCTTAAATACTCTTTGGATATTTCTAGTAATAGCTTCAAGGTTATCTTGGATCACATTACTAGATTGTTCTTCTCTCTCTTTACTTCGACCACTCGGGTCACCAATTCGTCCTGTGGCTCCACCTACCTGGGACACAACATCATATATATATTAAAACGTGACAGGGTTTTTTTATTTCACGATTCTGAATCAACCACTGGACGGATTTTCATGATTTTTGTGTTGAAAGAAAGATAATTTTGAAAACTAGGGAATGTCGAAGCCATAATTTTAGTTTAGGTTTCAGTTTTTTAGAAATTAAGTTTTAATTTTTAAAAAGTTTAGCAGACGACGCTAACTCTAACTTCTACTCCACTGAGCTATAATAATAACTGGAGTAACCACTCTGTGTTTTAAAAACGTACCACTGTTTTTGCTGGTTTTGTTTCAGAGTTTCGTTTCGTTAGGTTGGCCGGGTGATCGGGTTGGTGGGACTTGTCAAATTAGAGGCAAAATCAAGATGGCGTCATCCTGTTTTGTTGATGATAGTAAACAAAAATCTGCAAACTCAACATTATGATTGCAATATAAGTTTATTTATTTATTTTACGAGCAAGAGCAACCCATTTTAACAAGATCATAAACCGATGGTCGTTATTTAATCAAATGCCATAGGGCTATTGGCCTAAACCAATATCTCCAAAGCAGGAAACTTGACTAGCCTCTTTTCACACAATAGCTTGAAAAGAGGTAAATAAGTTAGTATTTATTTACTATCAAACAAAAACAATTTATAATGTTTCAAAATAACTTTAAATACAGAGGTTTTAACGTGCAATAACTTAAATAAGTTTTTGATACAAGTCCATGAAATAACGGATAACATAACCCCAAATAAATAGTATGGTTAGGTTCAAATGAATTGGAATTATTTGACAGCATCCCACCAACCGATCACACGGCCAACCTAACAACAAGAAACACCACAAACCAGCCAAAACAGTGGCACGTTTTTCTCTAACGTTTAACCAGAGAGTAGTGACTCCAGTTATAATCTATATCTCAATGTTCTACTCTAGCTTTTGGTATAATACCATTTGCTTAATGTAACAGCTGTAAACATTCAGCGTTTTTAACACAAATTTAGCATTTTGGATGAAAATGAAATGTCATACGTAGAATTGACTTATTTATACTATATGCAATGCTATAATCATTTATACGTTCATTTATTCGGTAAGAGGATGAGAGATTAATTATAAATATACATAGGAAAATACTAGAAGTTCTCATTTATTTTATTGAGTAGTCTTTAAAATATTTAGTTTGTTTTAGTGCAATATAACTTGTTATAACTAACAGCTGGTTGAATAAAAAAATATTCTATAGAACTATGAGGTTAGTTTATTTACTCTCTGATTTTGTCATTGATTATAGGAAATAAGCGAGATTCTATAACCATTTCTGTATACGAATCGAAGCTCACGAATCTTCAAAAGAAAGCTTATGCAAATTATTTTACTTTTTGAGGAAAGGTTGGGAAAATAACAATGATCAAATGTTTTGATTCATCTTGGCAGATTTTTCTTTAAAATAAATTTTTGAACTGCTCAAACTATGATTGAATTAGTAATAGACACACTATATAAAGTTTTAATGGACTACTCGATTCCCGTACGTAGGACGGGCCACCAGCTCGTTGAACCTTAAATATGAATAGTAAATTGGTAGGCCTAAATATCCCTGACACCGCAAACCTACAGAGTAAGTGGATTTCTATATGCAGGATATGCAGGATTTTCACTACATCCTACAAAATGTCAGATTTATTCCCTATTAGAATTATTTCCGATTTTAAGGAAAAAAGATCTAAAGATATATAATATAAAATAAGGCATGGTCTTGCTTCTTTTCTTGTTGTGGTGTTATCGGACCAATTATTTAACTACCTAATTAAAAGATTAAATTAACTTTTGGATTATGCACATTTTGGAGCAATTTCATAGTATTAGAACCTATTGGCTTAAGTTAAATATTATATAAAGGGAGCGGCAGAAATATCTGACGGTTTTCAAGCGAGTACAGTCCGGCAGCCGAGTGGAGGGGGGTGGTGGGGAGCGGCTCATTCTCAAGGCCAAGTGACCCCATTTCAGTCGCCATGGAGCAGTGGACCGGTATTCATCGCGCGTTTGTCGTTGAGGCGTATTTTAAAAGTGGCGATTCTGTTGTTGATATACAACGTAAGTTTCGTAGGCATTTTAATGTGGCTCGTGGGGAACCTATCCCATCCCGAAACACAATAAAATTGTGGGTGGATACCTTTAGATCCACAGCAAAACGTAGGCCTACAGGCCGTCCATGGTCAGTGAGGACGCCGGAGAACGTGGAGCGAGTGCGACAAGCTGTGCTAACGAGCCCGTATCGCCAGGCGCGTAGACAAGCTGCTGCTCTTGGCATGTCTGATCGCTCTATTCAACGAATTTTGCACTCAGACCTTCACTTTCACCCATATAAAATAGCAATCGTCCAAAAACTTCAGCCTCACGACCACGCTAATCGTCAAACATTTTCAGAACAAATGATTGATTTGATGGATGACGAAAAAATTCTTGTAATGAGTGTTGAGGCCCATTTTCACCTAGATGGCTATGTAAACAAACAGAATTTTAGGTATTGGTCGAATAGTTGATCCTGTGGATCTAAAGGTCCACCCAAAATTTGATGGTGTTTCGGGATGGTATAGGTGTTCCCCACGAGCCACATTAAAATGCCTACGAAACTTACGTTGCGTATCAACAACAGAATCACCACTTTTAAAATACGCCTCAACGACAAACGCGCGATGTATACCGGTCCACTGCTCCATGGCGACTGAAATGGGGTCACTTGGCCTTGAGAATGAGCCGCTCCCTACCACCCCCCTCCACTCGGCTGCAGGACTGTACACGCTTGAAAACCGTCAGATATTTCTGCCGCTCCCTGTATAAAATAGGATTATATAATATCCTACTAATCATATATATTAAACACGGTTTTTTTATTTCACGATTCTGAATCAAGCACTTGACGGATTTTCATAATTTCTTTGTTGAAAGAAAGATAATTTTGAGAACTAGGGAATGTCGAAGCCACAATTTTAGTTTAGGGTTTCAGTTTTTTAGAAATTAAGTTTTAATTAATCTTGTCAGCTTTTACTTTACAATTAATTTTGAACTGCTTAAACTAAGCATTAATTAGGAGTAGACTTATTGATATAACTATATAAAGTTTTAATGGACTGCTCGATTCCCGTACGTAGGACAGGCCAACAGCTCGTAATTATAATATCATAATAGTTAAGTTTATATAAACTTAATATCATACTATTGAAATATAGTATGGTATCACTGATGTGTAGACTAATGACTGGGTTAATTCAAATTAGGCTTTATCGTCAACTAACGAGACTACATCTTTACCAAAGCAATAACTTGATGTCCGCCTCTTTGCCAATGGAGAAGGTTAAGGAGAACAAGTAGGTTTCCAACATGGAGACTCTTGGCTGTTGGATCAAAGCCAGCATAAACACACTGGGGCTTAGCATTTAATATATCCGTCATTGAACTTCTGGAACAAATTACAATACAATTAATTCTGAACTAACTTCTGGCAAAGTATGACTTTTGATAGACTATACTGTAGTGCTAACTTAGTAAAATAAAACTGATTATTAAGTATAGATAAGTTATTTTTAGTCTGAATTAACTTAAACTTTTTGAATGTCTGGGTTTTGTAATTTAGGCCTATAACTTATGAAATAACAACAAATTTAATAATTCGCTAAAAGAATACTTAACATTAAGACCTTGCTACAACTTAAAGAATTTTTCGAAGAACATGGCTACCCAAATTTATGATGAACAATAGGCCTACACTTTCACACACACACACTTACAAACACTACTACCCTCATCATTGAACTTGACAATTCACCCATCTCTACGATTGTACTGAAGAGGATCTATATGGATTATACTGAAGAGGATCTATGTAAGGCAGGATGCACACTGGAGAAACCCGTTTCAGGAAACTGGTTTCGTCAAATTGGTTTCAAGTAACCCATTTCTTTAACAAATGCACACAGAAGAAACGGTATTCCATCAGTTTCGTGATATGAATTCGGATGATGATTATGGTACTATATTGGTGGTGAGTGGCTAAAGAAAACGAAAAGAAGGAAGTATTGGGTCCACCGTCCACCCGTTGGTTAGGGGTGGTCAACACAGTACGTACATTGTAGCTAATTAATTATGCAGTGATCTTGTAATTTTATTTTATTTTTATAATGCCAAAGCCTCTTTTTTGAATGTTTGGTGGAATTACTTAGTCCACTAATAACAAAGAAGGACACCAACCGGAGGTTAGCTCTGAGTGCTGAGGGAAAATAACAATACACTGAGAAGTCAATAAAGCCAATAGAAACGTGAAACTGAAGCCTATACGAAATCTGTTTTTTGGATTTCATGTAAACCAGTTGCAAGAAACAAATGAAATTACAGTTTCATGCAACGCAGTGTGCACTGCCCTGTGTTAAACTAATCCATCTGTTGCGAGCAACTAAAGTTTCTCGTTTCATGAAATCGGTTTCCTGAAACGGATTTCTCCAGTGTGCACCCTGCCTAAGAATGTAAAACACGGGTAAAAATATCAACTACAATAAATGAATAAATTGATACTAGGCTAACTTAATTAATTGATAAGTATAAGGCTGAAGCGTCCGTAGAGCGAAGAGATAGGTTATATGCATTATACTTGAAGGCAAAGCGTAATTATCAGGCTGAAGTAGATGCTGCTAAAAAGCTGCATACTGTACATAAAATTGAGCGCTCCAATAACAAGTGTAAAGCAGCTTGGTGTGTCATAAATGAATCAAGAAAGTCAAGAGCAACCATTAGTAGTCAAATAAACTCTGATGAATTTAATTCCTACTTTGTAAGCACTGTAGATGACATTGTTAATGACATGCAATCTGACAGTTCTGTTGCTGCTCTAGCGGTGCCTGTGGCACAACATAATCTTGTGAAATGGAGACCCACAACTTCAGCAAAAAATTATTAGAATTACTAAGAGCTTTTCAAACTCTTACAGTCCAGATATATATGGTCTTACACCTCACATCTTGAAGCATATTATAGAAGCTGTTGCTCAACCCCTCTGTAAGGCTATAAATGGCTGTCTGTCAACGGGTATTTTTCCTGACTGCCTTAAAATTTCAAGAACTGTTCCTATCTACAAGAAAGGAGATGTAAACGCTGCATCAAGCTATAGACCAATATCCATCATTCCCTGTTTGGCAAAAATACTTGAAAAAATAATGCAAAACCAAATTGTAGACTATTTTGAGACTAACCATCTTTTCTCAAATTCACAACATGGCTTCCGTAAAGGAAAATCAACCGCTACTGCTCTCATCTCCCTAGTGAAAGGAATACAAAATGCTTTTGAGGACAAGCATTCCATGTCCATTGTCCTATGTGATCTGTCAAAGGCGTTTGACGTTGTCTCCCACAGTATTCTTCTTCCGAAGCTGGCTCGATATGGGTTAGGTGGGACTGTGCTCAAAACACTAGACTCCTATCTTTGTGAGAGGAGCCAGATGGTGGCTATACAGGGGGCTCTCTCTGCTCCAGCTAAGATGGACCATGGTGTCTCGCAGGGATCGATATTGGGGCCTTCATTGTTCTTGATCCTAATGAATGACCTCGGTAAGGATGATGAAACCCTCCTATACGCCGATGACACAACTCTCTGTGGCAGGGGACAACACCTTCTTGAAGCGACAGCGAAATCAGATGAACTGTTCAATAATGCAAGTAGCTGGTTTGGGCACAATGGCCTTAAGCTAAATGAAGCCAAAACCCAGAACCTTCTACTAACGCTCAGCAAAACCTCTCCATCTCAAGACGAGCCAGTAAAACTACTAGGGTTTGTCTTGGATCCCAAGTTACAATGGGACTCCCGCGTTGATGCTGTGTGCCTTAGGCTTAGGCGTGTAATTTTTCTTCTTAGAAAACTCAAACATCAAATCACACAGAAGTACCTCATGACAATATACTTCTCACTATTCCATAGTCATATAAATTATGGAATCTTACTCTGGGGCCACTCATCAGGGTGTATCCGTATACTGAAGCTACAAAAACAAGCAATAAGAATTGTAACTGGAAGTAAAAGATCGCAGCCATGTAAACCCATCTTCAAACAACTTAACATATTGACAGTATACAACCAATATATAATTCAGTTGCCTTCTTCATATAAAATCCAACTTGCATCTTCATGAAAACAGAGGGGAACAGCATGATCACAACATAAGGGGAGCACACAAACTCAACACAACTAGATGTAGGCTAGCAATGACGAGGGATAGTTTCCCGCAGGTTGCTGTTAAGATGTTCAATGCCCTGCCGAAACGTTTAGTGGACATGGAAGATAAGGTTTTTACCAAGAACTTAAAAGAACTTCTCCTAGCAAAGCCATTTTATTCAATTGATGGATTTTTTTAAAACTCGACAACACTGTCGCTAGAATAAGCATCCACCACCAATGCGCAGTCAGTATATATTAAATATATGTTTATTTATTTGTAAATAGTAGTTTTGTAAGGATTTTGACACTATCTATCCGGCCCAGGCTGGTCAACGATGAAGAGGGGGTATTCAGGTACTTATACCTTTACAGAAATTTACTACGCACATCTTGAGCATCTAATTGTTGTATTATTTATCAATAAATTTACAAGGTAATTTAATCCATTGGAGTATATTTTAAATAGAGGTTAATAAAGTATAACTCACTACATTGATACTTACGCTCCATTATCTGGAAAAATATCTTCAAACATTCCTCTTTCACGAAGGAACAATATGTTTCTATTAGTGTAACACCTTACAAAGCTTGGATGACATTTACAGAAACACTTAATGACCGAACGAACTAACATTTTTATTATAAATAAGAGTAAAATAATATAAAACTCATAAGGCCTACCCCTAATGTTTTGATAATAATTTATTTGAGGTTATAACGGGTACACACCAACCACACAAACCTGGTACCCTAGTTGTTTTAAATATTGATAGTAAAATTAGATACGTTTATCCATTAGGTAAAGAAGGCAACTAATAGTAGCTGTAATGTAAAATGCGATTTCAAAAGCGAATAACTGTAACTGTAAACATTATTTCATGATCGGAAATTATTAATCAGTAAACATTACTAAACTAAAACCAGTGTTGCCAGATTTGCCGGCGAAAATTATCGTACAAGCAGGCCAAAATTATCGTTTTTGGGGCAAAATTATCGTACACACAATTTTCTTTTATAATAATATTATTATAATGTAAAACAAGCAAGTCGATGATGGAATGGCCGAAATTTTACTCTATTTGTCTCTGCCACCCACCGTTTTTGCTCTACTATGTCTACCACTGAGCTAGAAAAATGAAAAATATAAATTCTACCGGAGGCAGCACACTTATCACACACACACGTCACACGGAATCTGCATCTCTGCTAGAAAAAAATTGAAACGCTGTAAAATGATGGTATTTTCGTTCCGTTCTCAACTGGAAAAATCAACCAGCTCATTGCATTATTTCATTCCCCTACTGCCAATGTACTGACTGAGTTCAATAATTAATTGAAGGTACAACGTAATCTACCCCTAGTACAAATGGCGGCCAACTTCTCTCAAAATTCTCCTATAAACACTTAAGTTGGTAGCCAATGGGCCCTCTCTAACACAGCTGATGGCTTTGCAAGGTTGCCAGATCGAACAGCAACGAAGTGATGTTACTGTTTTTCCATATATTAAAAGTGGGAAACGTGTTTAAATGTATAATAATCAATATGAAATAGTTAATTTTCCAGCCCCCAAAAAATAATCGTACATTATGACAAAAAATCGTACACAACGTCAAAATTATCGTACAATTTTTCAAAATTATTTTTTATGGGGAAGGAGCAAAATAATCGTACAAATACGATAATTATCGTACACCTGGCAACACTGACTAAAACAATGCCTAAACCTTGCAGAAGCAGACGATAACATTGGTTATGTTTTTTTTTTTATTTTTTCTTCTAAATGTCACAAATGTGATGGCCTTGATTAAAATTCATGAGGCACCAATGTTCACTTTTTGTGGTTATCCGTCTTTTTCTTAGTTTATTTGATATTACTCAGGAGAATGGTGTTGACACTTTAATTTTGTTATTTACATACATAAATGTTGACAATGAGCTATGATTTGTTCTGATATTTTTGTTAATAATAAAGAAAGGATCTCTTTAAGGAAAATTGATGTAGATGGGTATCTGGGAGGGAGGGAAAAGGTTTAGTCTTCCCTGCCTGGGCCGATCAGGCAATGTCCTAACCCGAAAAAGGTGGGCCTTGGATGAAGAAACCCAAGATTGGACAAACATTCATGTGGTTATGTTATGGAAAGGTTGTGTATGGTATGGTTACAAATCACAATTTACAAACAAATCCGACCAGAGACATCCAAATAAAAAAAGTTGCTTTTTACCTTTCCCAAGCTAACTAGAGAAAAATAAAGACAATACTGTATGACAATAATATACTAACGTAACAAAGTATTTAAAACTATGTTTATTATTTAATGTTGTATTTTTTACTTTAATACTTTTCATTAAAATGGCGACCATACAAAGTAGGTATTTTAATCCAAGCATGAATGGAGACGAGTGTAGAATGAGTGGTGCGAGCTTGTAGTCTTGTTAGTGACTAAGGCCGACGTATTCCTTAGACACAGTTTGTTAATACTGTTAATACTACTGTTACTGTTCGATGAAATGGCGACCATACATAGTATTGTTCAAAGGTTTATTGCGGACATTTTCCATCACGATTGTAAAAAAAAAAAAACAATACACAACGTTTTGGGATCTGGAATCTGATCCCGTCCTCAGGTGAAAAAAACTTACATACATAGTAGGTATTTTAAGCCAAGTATGAATGGAGATGAGTGTAAGAAAGTATAAAGTATAAGTATAAGTAGGATGAGTAGCGCGATCTTGTAGTCTTGTTAGTGACTATAAGGCCGACATTCCTTAGACACAGCTGTTAATTAATAGCCCATACAGCTAATGGAACTTTTAAGGGACCTACAGTTTATAGTGGAATCCGAACCACATTTTTTCCTTGGTATATACAAATTGGTCTAATTATCAGGATAGTACTGCGGATAGTCCGTAGTACTCACTCGTGCGGACGTTAATCCACACTGTCACTAGGGAGTATCACATCCACAGTGCATGCCTATAAATATCCACTATTCGTGATCTCCTAGTAGTTGGATTACAGGACGACGCCACCCGTCCCATTCATGCATCATCCACATGCACTCACTGGCTCGGAAGTAAGGGGAGTCGACGGCCCCAACACTACAATCCTAACGAAAAGTTAAATTAAAAATAAATCAAACATGCACATGCTCCTCTGACGAGCAGAAGTTGGTAAGCTCTTTTAAAGAAGGTTGCCTTATTTAGGCATTTCAGGATGGTAGCTCAGGCTTAGTAAGAGTTTGGGGCTATTTTGTGTTAGGTTAAAGTTCAGGTCATAATTAACTTAATTGTTAGTTCATGTTACCTCCAGACTGTTTTTGTACAATTGAAACACTGTAGAAAACACTGCAGAATGTTATTTTAAAATGTTTGCTTTTTTATAAGTAACTCGAATCCCTTCATAATCTTTTTGTCGATGATCACTCTCACTCTTAGAGTGAAATTCTTTTAACAAAATAAAGGAAATTACAATAGTGCTTTCAACTTTCAATGTCAATTTGTTTAGGAATAAACACTGTTGAAAGTGACTTCATTTCATAGCCCAGTAAACAAGCTTTCATGTTATAAAAAAATACACAAATACCATTAGCTGCTTCCAAACAAAACAGCTGTTTCAACACCACTTGCGACGTTTCCACTTTGAAGGCCGCGAAAAGGCGGCCGTGGTCAAAAACTGAATAATAAGTAACGTAAATTTTAAAGTGGCAATAATTTTTCAACTGGTGTAGAAGGAAGGTGAGATTACCAAATTTTTTCACAAAAAAATTTATTGAAACAAAAAGTGCAAAAAACATGCACACTTATTTCTTTGTTATTTTGAAATGTTATTTACCTTGTAAAAATGTTTACATATTCATTAATGTTATAATCAGTTAAACAACAAAGTTTTCTCTCTTGGATGTTGGTAAAATTATTCTCAAGACTAATGAAAGAATACGACACGGATACAAAGAACAAAAAGAAACTACAAACATTACAAAGAATACAAGAAGCCGTCAACAAAGTAAAAATGGTATGGAACACAATAAATGAAAAGAGGAATAAAATAGAAGATACACCACAAGAGAACTACAAACTACTTCATAACAATAAAATATAGTCACTGATCCGTATCATATAAGCAACAATTTTAATACCACGTTTCTAGGACCTATGAAATCTCAACAAAGTCTAAATCACACAGCTGAAGACCCAACAGATCAACAGATCTTGACATCACTCCTTTCTGGACAGTTTCAATACAATTACAACCCCTGAACTCGAAAAAATTCTTTTCCAGCTCAACTCAACAAACTCTGCAGGCTTTGACGACATATCGGGGAAAATAGTAAAATATTGTACTGACGAAATAAAAAAAAACCCCACTCTTACACTTAATAAACACATCAATCTTGCAAGCAGAAATCCCCTCCAAACTCAAAGTAGCCAAGATCATTCCTAAATTTAAAGCAGGTGACAAAATGAACACAGGAAACTACAGGCCCATAAACTTACCCACTCTCTCAAGCTCAAATGATCAAGATTAAAGAATGATGAATGATGAAAGTGCTATACACAATCAAATTATTGCACACCTAGAAACATATAACATAATCACGTCATGCCAACATGGATTCAGAAAAAAACTTAGTACCACAACCGCCATAGCAGACCTTTGTAACAAAACTGCGGAAATCTGGGAAGAGAAGCTAACGGCCACTGGCATATTCATCGACCTCCAAAAAGAATTTGACTCCTTAGACTGGAAAGTATCTATACGAAAATTAGAAAAATACAAAATTCAAAATCAAGCCCTAAAGCTACGCGCGCACTAGGGCGGCACGGCACGGACGGACGGGACGGGACATCCGTATTTTTTGTGCTAAAGGTTGATGCGTAAGCTTCGGCCTACATCATGGGGCCCGGGTATGTCCTAAAGGATAGGTACCGGGTATGTAGTCAGGGGGCTTCGGCTCTCATGACAAAACGAAATGGAAATGGAATGGAAATGGAAATGGACGGGACATCCGCACATACAGTTGACAGTCTGCGAGCTAAAAATTGTGAGTAAATATGGATGTAGATAAAGTGGTGATAGTAGGTTTAATTTTAGCAGAGGAAGAGGGGACAAGAAGGTGCTAGCAAAGATTTTAGATACACCATATAAACAGGAAAAGACTAAGTTTTGGAGGGTTCCACACCTTGTTTCCTGATCTTGTAGAAGGATTATGTGTAAAACTTACCTGATTGTTTAATAATATATCATATTTCTGCCCTTATATTGTCACGTTGGACGTTATTAAAATATTCCGGATGTCGCATGTTGTACAGTTCTGGTTATTTCTCAACGAGAAAAATCAACTTACTAACATCTATGTTTACAACATACGAAATGGCGGATGCCCCGTGCCGCCTGCCCGCTCGGTGTCCAGTGCTCCCGGTCGGTACGGGCGGTACGGGCGTCACGGCAGCTCGGAAATGTCCTGGAGTTCTGTCTCCCGGACTTTTTAACAAACGGCGGAAGCTGCCGAACGTCCGTTGCCGGCCGTACCGCCGTAGTGGGCGCACTCATATGACATTCAATGTTATTAACTTTTAAAAATTGCCGTGCCGCCCGCCCGTCCGTGCCGTGCCGCCGTAGTGCGCGCGCGCAGCTTAAAATGGATCAAAAACTATCTTACTGTTATATAGTCAATGGTTCAGTACTTCGTGTTCAGTCCAGTTCCAGTTTCCAGTTCCAGTTGCCTCCATGTGACTATTCAATTCAATCCAATTCTCTTTTGCCTGAAAGAGGGAGGCTCTTCTTCACCAATCGGCGATCAGTAATCACCATCACCATCACTTGCTCTTGCTCCTTGCTTCCCTTGCCTTCTGCTTCACTGCTTGTATTGCATTTGCATTGCATCTTGCTTTGAGTTTGCATTGTTGTTTGTTTT